ACACTACCGTTTTTAATTATTCTTTTGCTTTTCCTCCTCAATCCCCCTTTTCTTCAATCTTTTCACCTTTTTCTTCGTATTCTTCAAATTTTTTACCCGCAGTTTCTTTTCCATAACTTTCGTCCTTCTGTTCTACTTTGATTTCATTTTTTCTCTTTTCTTCTGTTCTTTTTTCTCTTCCTCTTCCTTTTCTCCTTTTAATAGCCACCATTCTTTTCTTACCATTCTTACATTGTCACTCTCCCTAGCTTTGATATCTATTCAATTCTTCTTTGTTAATCTCTTTTGTCATATCTTCTTCTTATCCCCTGACAATTTTTCTCTTTCTTCTTTTACTATCTGTTCTTCCTTCACCCTCTTCTCTTCTTTCATTATCTTTGCGCCGTCACTCTCTAATCGATGGCAAATGTGTGAAAGCGCTGATCCAAAAATGGAAGGAATAAAGACAGGAATCAACGCGAAGTTGGCACTATAACTGACTTCCACAGAACAGACGATGATATATAAATATCTATAGAAAGAGAAAAGGGTATTTCGTTTTTGAGTTTGTCATGCTGAAAAATGGTATAGAACCCCATTTAATAGTACACAACCGCTGCGACAACAAGAAAAACTTTGTTTTTTATTCAATTGCATCAATGACGAAGCCTGATGCCGTAAAAGCATTCTACCCAGATCAAATAAATGCGCGCTCACCCCCCCCCTCACCTCCACCCAACCCTGTCCATGTTAATTCAGTTCTACCGAAATCTTCCCATCGTGATGGAGGACATCCAGGCAGCAGCCTGGCACCTGGCACAGCAGCCATCGTTCATGCGCTGACATTGGACCCACGATTTTAAACGCCTTATTTGCATCTTAAACGCCCGTCGATCACCTTGGGGGGATATTCCAATTTCTCTCTCACAACAACGTTTGACAGCAAATGGTTTCACTTACTCCTAGCATTGACTTTAAATTTTCACTTCCCTAGCTTCCAACTTTCTGTTTTCAGCTTCGTTCATTGCTTAAGTTTCTAATTCATAGAGAAGGATTTTCAGAGATATACTGTCTTACTTTGGTCTGTTAACGACAGACCAATCGTTCCGTTGTCAGCGATTGGTGTGAAGGCAGCAGGCGTCATTAATCGTCACCACGAACGCTGAGTGGCAACGCTAACGTTAATTCAGGTTAATGTACTCTGAAGACGGACCGAGTTTGGTCCGAAACGTCAGATGTCTCTAATTAAAGAACATTT